AGTCTTAAGTTTTCTGACTATAGGTTTACTACTTATACCCGGATTGTATATTTTAAACTCTATTAAACTATTTTTTTATACTGTAATTTTTTACAAAAAAGAATATTTTTACTAAAAAAATTAAATTAGATATTTTGATAAAAATATTAAATACTAATAATTATACTCAAACATTAAACTAATATTTTTTACAGTTCTGTCAAGATAAATGAGTAATAGACCTAATTAATTTTTTCTTCTGTTTGTTAATTATCTTTGTGCCTATTGCGTGGATATCTGTTAATCAAATAACAATTTCGATAATTATTCCACCCTTGCCAGTATCAATTAATATTTGCGTAATAAACGCAACGTATTACCAACGTTTATCTTTTATGATTAATAATGTAAAATTAATCTTCTGTAACCTAGGATAGAACTGTGTATCGCATTGTCGACCTGAACTTTCGAATATACGAAAAAAATGACTTTATTCTGGCTTAATTCGAATAGATATTTTAAATACAAGCTATTTCATCATTATCACTTTTTTGTTTATTAAGACGGTACTAATAACTATCAAGTCCGACGTTTCGTTACCGAGATACCATTATCAACCTTATTTTTTTAAATATGGACATGGGTTTTTATTTAATATTTCAAAAGCTTTTGGATATCCCAAATATAATATTGTAGACACCAGTGGCAGCTCGTGACTCGTGTGACTGGGTAGGCGACAAAATTTTAGTTGCGTCTATTTGACCCCCCCCCCCTCCTCCTAAGTAGCAATAAACGTTTATTTTTCATGGAATCTCTACTATAAATTTTAATGCATTTCAAACATGAAAAATGTCTCTCAACCCAAGTACTTGTAAATGGTGTACTAACAATCAAACAATTTGAAATTTAAAAAACAAACAATTTGAAAGCCTCTGGAAATATATTTCCCGGATTATTCTCCTTAAATTATTTTATAATCGAAATTATCATATCAATTATTAATACCTGCAATTTATTCATTAATTTATGTTGGTCAATAATAAACATTTTTTGTTTGTTAAATAAATACTAAATGCGTTGGAAATGTATCAATATAACAAGTTTGTTCAATCAGATATTAAATGCGTTGGAAAATTTTTATAGGATTCTTTAAATTTCGGATTTATTAGGATAAATAAAAATAATTGAGACATACGAGTACCTATTTGCAAACCTTATTTCTAAATGCATAACAATGTTATCTAATATTTCATAAAATAATATTTATTAACATATCGAATTGAATTACCACACTGAGACTCTTTTTGTAATATCTGTTATTTTAGCGCGTTCTTTTTGCACCGAATAAAATAACGCGCTCTTTTCTTTCGGATTCTTTTATTTCTGTGGCGTGTTCTGAAATACAACCGGTTATATAATTTTGAATAACGTTTCCAATTTGTTTTAAACGTCTTTTGAATTTTCAATTAAAAGTTTTAAATGTTCTGTATAATGAATCATATGAAATATCCCCTTAACGAAATGTGATATATCCTCTTATGAAATATCGGGAATAGCCCCTTAACTTCTAAGCCTACCGAGCCTCCGCGACTTCATGCGAAGGCGACCAGAGATTTCGCCTAAACCCCGCCTTAATACGATACAACTCCGACTTACGTCGCGTCGCTACCGCACGATGAGTTAGACAGAGACATGAAACTACCGCACGTCGTACTTCGACTCTGAAAGATCGCGCACACTATACCTACACGGACCGGCACGGACCAGACCAGTAAAATCTACCGGTGAAGGTGACCGTGTTATTTAATAGAGTAGAGCACACTAGACCAGTATCAGCACGGACCGCCACAAGCCACGACCGTCAAAACAGGTCGTGTCGGTCAGGGACAAATATGACCGGCAATATTTATGCCTGGTCGTGCTGGTCCGACCTAATGTGCGCACTGGCGAACCAGCACACCTCCACAAACATGCAAATATTGAAGGGTTCGTCAGTATTTCGAGTAGGCTAGCTGGCTCAAGTCGCATGATGTAGGTTAGATTTCGTTTATTTTTGTTCGAACCTTTAAATCGTTTTAAATATGAATGAAGAAAAGCTTATTTTACTGGTACAAAAGTATCCAGAGCTGTGCGATACGAGCCAAGCATTTTATATATAGAGACCAAGAAAGAAAAGATGCAATATGGGAGTCGATAGCAAAAAAAAAATAATCAAATTTGATTTGTGACATTCGAAAATATTGGAAAAACTTTTCTTCGAATCTTTTTAATTCAGGAAACAAATGATGAAATTCGCCATATTGCTTTCTCTTTTGATTTATAGGGTGAACCCAAAATCTTTTTTTTTCTTAGCTTCCTTCTCTTCCTCCTCTTCTTCAAACAACATGGCTAAAATAATAATTTCTTCCTCTGAACTACTCATTTTCAATACTTCTATGTTGCACGCTCTAGTAGTTGAGCCATGACAACTGTATTTTTTTCGAAACTCTCGCTTATGTTGCTGGTCTGTGGCGGTAAAGTGTGCGACGTCATGCAGGATGCAGGTTTGTGCTGTGCTGGTCCGTACTGGTCCGTGTAGGTATAGTGTGCGCGATCTTTGATAGTAGGCGATGTAGAAATCGCCGAACAAAGGCGCTTGCAGTATTCCAAAGGTCAAAATTATTTTGTTTTCTAACGGTACAGTCAGCGTAGTGAATATATTAATATACAAGACCACAAATATTAAAATAATATTGATTATTACAATACACTTCCGTGTATTAATAGTACCGTATGATCGAAAAAAAACGGCGTCCAGTTGGCTTGGAAATGACAATCGATGACATTTCCCATATAAATTTACATATAAAATGACAGCGATCTTCATTTCATAGCCATCGCTGACGCCGTTTTTATTCGATCATACGGTATTTTTATGTATTGGCAACATTAATAGTAAATAATGTAGTGTAATAAACTGCTTATATTCTGCCAAAATTTTAGGGTATAAATCAACCTTGCCTACCTTGACGAGCCGCCACTGGTAGATACTTGTCAAAAAATATCTATATAATAAAGAAATTCCTATAATAGGGAATGAGTTGGAGAGCGGGTATGCAGATCCTGTTTGGGGTTATTAATACTAAATTATTGTAAACAATTAAAATTAATATTTTTTCTTAAGCTGCACAAGTTTAGTGTTCTTTACTAGCAGCGTATTAGACTAGCAGTATTAAACCTCTGTATGAATATTATTAAATAATAAAGATGATAAGATTTTTTCACGCCCATTTGTAAGCATAAAAAAGTACTTATTATATTATATTGTCGAAGATTAAGGAAACACAACGCTAAATACCTGTGTTTTTATACTGTTGAGGTTGATACAGCATATATTTGGGACAACTAATACACAGCTCGGGATCTCTACTATTGGGTTCTGGTAGAAGAATTAAGTTACCATGGAGTTCTTAAAGAAGAAACTCAATCATATTCAAATTTAGAATGCTACTTTATCTAAAGAAGAAAACATTCGACCAATGTGTACTAACAGTAATGACCCATGATACGTAATGACCTATATGCATTCGAAACCTGGACACTTAAAATCGACATCATAACGAAACTGCAGCTCACACCGAATACGCTCAATGGAACGAAATATGTTGGGAATGACCAAGAGTGACCGTAAAAGAATAGAGTGGATACGACAAAAGAGCCAGGTAATAGATGTCATCCACAGAGTCAAATCCCTCAAGTGGCAATGGACAGGACACTTGACAAGAAGGACGGACAACAAATGGACCACAAAAATTACAGCATGGTACCCACGAGGAATTAAGATACCTAGAAGAAGATCGAACTTGAGATGGGACTATGATATTAGGAAATTAGCAGGGATAACTTGGGCCCGCATAGCCAACAATAAACAACAATGGGCCCAACTACAATGAAAGTATCTAAATATCGTGAGGGAGTCTACACCATAATTGGAAATGGTTGAATAAGCTGAAAATGATGATGATGATGATGTAGAATGTAGAATGTTTAGGAGGGGAGTTAATCACCGCGACCTTATAGACCTATTGAGTGTTCCCCTATCTTATAACTCGTCATACAGTCTCAGGGCTTTAACAAAAGCCAGTATCTGAGACGGCTCCACAGGAGCCAGCTCTCCATCCTCGATATCAGCCGTACCAAAGTTCATGGCACGAATGGTCGTCGTCTGGGCGCAGTCAGTGATAAGGTGCTCTGGTGTTTCCCCATTTTTCCCACAGAATCTGCATTCGCCGTTGTTTCTCAGCTTCAGCTTACGGAGGTGTTCGTTGAGGAGACAGTGTCCTGTTAGAAACCCCGCGACAATCCGAAGATTGTTTTTACTTAAATCAAGGAACACCTTTGATTTTTCTCGGTCGTAAGTCCTGAGGAACTTTTTCGAGTGTCTTAGACCGTTGGAGGACATCCATCCCAAGTTACGGATGGAGTCTTCCAGATTCTTCAGTTCCGCTTTCAGTTGGTTCCCGTTTGGAAAACAGAACGGTTCTGGTCCAGTTAGTCGAGTGTTCGCTCCTTTCCTAGCCAGATCATTTGCTTTTTCATTGCCTTCTATCCCTTGGTGAGCAGGCACCCAAAGTAGGAGGACTTTATTTTTTTTGCCTAATTTGTTGAGATTCTCTAGGCATTGTTTGACCAACTTGGAATTGATGATTACTGAATTGATCGCGTTAAGTGCTGCTTGACTATCATGATGACGATACAGCAGTTACATTTTTTGTGACACGAGAAATATAAATATTTAATTTATTAATTAAACTATAAATTTCTTTTGTGAATAAAAAAAACTATCAACTACTTTAAAATAATACACATATTAAAAGAAATTATTTATTCTTAATAATTTACATACCTAAATCTGTAATTTTATATATTTTTATTATATTTAAAATTAATTTTACAAATAAAAACAAAATCGGTAACGCTTTATACTAGTTTGTTATACGAAAAAAGCTATCTATCAGATACTCTGTAGTTTGCTCTGATCTAAAAGTTGAAATATTAATGCCTACATTTTGATGTTCAATATTTATCAAGCAAATATGTGTGAATTTTACCCATGTATACAAATAAATCCACATCTCTAGTAGTTACTAATAAACATGAATATATAAATTTTAATAGCTATAAAAAAAGGAAATTAGTTTTTGTAATTAATATGAGATAACATTTAAAAATAATTGGTTTTGACATACTGAAAAAATATGTTTATTTGCTTGAAAACAAGAATGTCCAAAATAATTTCGATTTTTCATTATCCGGTTCGCCACTTTGAGACTTCTTCAATTCCTGTTCAATAGCGTAACTGAAAGCCTCCTCAAAATATTTCAGTAAGTTGCTCATGACGTTGGTACGCAGATGGCCAACCACCCACGAGTGTGTTTTTGGTATCAGCCAACTGAGCGAGCCCAATCCTGAAGTGTCAACTTCCGCTTCCCTGAAACAGAAAATTAAGATATAGTAAATACAGTCTCAGTCGAAGATTACTATATTAAACAGGTTGCCTAGTAACTTTTTTTTTTCGATCAATTTGAGCAAAGCAATAACTACGACACGGGTATGCTACAGAACGTATAAAATCATAAAATAAAGGAATAAAAAATAAAATGCAACGGACAAAGAGAGATAAATAGGCAATGTAATAAAGAAAACAAACATCAAACAACTGAAAACTATTGACGCCATACACAATGAATATCGAGTCGGAAATACACTGTTGGACTAGCAGCCGTTTTTATCCCTTATCTATGATTGGCGGCATACCTGTGACGTAGTTGATGACGTTTCCGATAATGGCGGATCGAGTTACAAGACAACCTTAATTATCTCTTAATAACCTTGGGCTAAGCCAGCGTTGCAAATAACTCTCAACTGGAATCAGTGGCAGTTGTGGCACACTAAGGGATAGAAGGTAATGAAAGCAAACGATCTAGCTAGAGAAGGAGCGAACACTCTACTAAATGGACCAGAATCGTTCTGCTACCCAAGTGGAAACCAACATAAAGCAGAACTCAAGAACCTGGAAGATCATTGGACACCTGGAATCACATCCTCCAATGGTCTAAGACACTAAAAAAATTTCTCAGGACTTACGACCGAGAAAAATCAATGGTTTTCCTTGATTTAAGTAAGAACAATCTTCGGATTGTTACGAGTTTTTTAACAAGACATTGTCTCCTCAATAAGCACCTTAGAAGTTAAATAATCTCAAATTCAGAAAGATAAAAAAATGCAATTGAGCATTTGGTTACGTGCAGATATAGTCTGTGAAACGAATAACTTTGAATATAACAGTTCCCGCGGGCTTTTCTAGTGTTAATTTTATTAGGTTAGCATTTGCAGCCATGCTGACGCAATGCCGTCTCTAATAGAACAGCCTCGGAGCAAGATTTATGACGTCACGCTAGTTAGATACTACAGATTAATAAGTATGTTGTAAAATACATGAAAAACATAATTATTCCTCGTATTTTTCGTTTGTATTTTAAAAATAATATACATAGTTGACATGAAATATACATAATATACAGTTAATAAATACAATATATATACCTATTTATAGTAATAAATACTTTGGCAAATAAAACTATGAACCATACAAATATTTTACAATATACAAATAATGAATAGATAATGGGTAAAATGTAAAACATATTTTAAATTTTGGGGTTTAAAAATCTATCTAATTTAACAAAAAAAACATTCAATATCTACTAATAGTGATGTATTATTATTTGCATTCACAAAATTTATATGTATGTTTTGCAAGTATCAATGTTCGAAAAATTATATTTGCAAATAATACAATATCATAGAAAAAAAGGCGTCAGCGATGGCTATGATATAAAGATCGCTGTCATTTTATATGTAAAATTATTCTAAAATATTTGATTTTCTCGGGATTTAGGTTCGGGAAAAAAACGCTGATTATTATTATAAAAACGCTGTTTTCATTTGGTTTTTCATTATTTTTTTTTGGTTCAAAAAAAACTTTTTAGTATAACCAAAAATACGTGGAATAATTATGTTTTCTATGTATTCTACAACATATTTATTAATCCGTAGTATCTAACTAGCGTGACGTCATAAATCTGGCTCCGAGGCTGTTCTATTAGAGACGGCATTGGTCTGATAATTAGAAATGTCAAAAGCTGATGACATTTTACTTTTGACAATTATGACATTTCGTGTTGATTTTTGCAAGAAGAGTAAAAACTGTCACTTGTTTTATTATTTTCCTTTTCTATTTCATGAAAGTAAAAAGAGTTACCTATCTGATTCGTTCAGACACTCAATTTAAAGAATATCAGTAACTTTTTTGACAGAGGGATTTTATATTTGCCATGTTGGTAAAAAATAATGGTCAAAATTCAAAGTTATTCATTTTATAGACTATAGTGCACGTAACTAAATACACTCATCGAACCGGCACGAAAAACGGGTACCTTAAAATTTTGATGTATTTTAATGACTAATATATTTTGTTCTAGTGGACCAATTTTGATGACCATTTAAGCAATCTGTAGCTAAATTATTCGACTTTTTAGTATCTCTTTTTAAATTAAAAATGAAAGTTTCCATCTGTAAACTATACAACGGAACACAAAATGTTGTTATTTTGGTGAAAGTTAGGAACACTCTGTGAAATATGTTAAAAAAGCAAGGAACTTGAAAATAATTTTGTCATCTAGGTGCACCTTTCCTGAATAGTTTATTTTTTAGTTCATCTCAATAGATTTTTTGGGAATATTCGCTTTTGAAGAAGACAATAACAATTTTTCGTAATTTTTACATTAAAACCATGCCTTTGCTTTTGGTCTCAGTCATTCGCGTCTGCACTCAGAGTCCATAGCTCTGAACCATAGCAAAGAACTGACTCTACCAATGTTTTACCAATCCAAGACTCTTTATAGTTATTGCAGACAAGTTTGGGTCCGACCAGAAGCTATTAAGACATCCAATAGCGTGTTTGCTCTTCTGAATTTGGGTTTGTATTTTTTCTTTGCCCAAAACCTCGAGTTGTTGATAGTAGTACCCAGGTATTTAATTTTGCTTACTTGTGGAATCTGGACGTTATCATTAATGAAGACTTCAAAACAAGCGTTGGAATTGACAGCTAAGTATTCCGTCTATTTTAGACTAACTTGAAGTCCCAATTTGTTATATGTATCCTTGAAAATTATTCAAAACTTAACCAGCGCAATCACGACCTAATCGTCTACAAAGATCAGAGTAAATAGTGTATCATCCCCAATGAATGGGTATTCCCATACCTTGACATCTCCTTTTCCATTAAGTACGTAAGAGCTAAAGCTTGATTTTCATGCATCCGTTGTCCGACGATACGATGATACGATATTAATTTTATTGGTTGAATTTAAAGACTTCGATTGGTTAGAAACGGTTAACCAATCGAAGCCTTTAAATACAACCAATAAAATTAATATCGTATCAACGTATCGTCGGACAACGGATGCATGAAAATCAAGCTTAAGGCGTTATCCTAAGGGCTATTTCAACGTAAGCATTGAATATTAGAGGAGATAAGTTGTATTCTTGCATAAGTGTCTTCTTCAAAAGCGAATATCTCCAACAAAAATGAAGGTATTGAGATGAACTAAAAAATAAACTAAGTATCGAGAAAGGATGTACCTGATGATAAAATTATTTTTAAAATCCTTGCTTTCTTAACATATTCCACAGGGTGTTTCAAACCTTCACCAAAATATGGACGTTTTGTTATTCCTGGTATAATTGACACATTCTTTTTAATTTACAAAGAGATAATAAAAAGTCAAAAAATTTAGCTATATATTGCTTAAAAAATCATCAAAATTAGCCTACTGTAACAAAATATATTAAACTTTAAAATACATCAAAATTTTAAGGTGCCCCCTTTTCGTGCCGGTGAGTGTAAATATTTTAGTTCTGATGCGATGTTTAATGAGACCAAATTTCCTAATTGCAAATGCTGCGCTCGCCATTTTTTTACCAAAAAAATTTTATCAGCTTAATTCATAAATTCCAAAGTTTTGTACGGGTACTGAAAACTTTGTTGACTATAATATATTTTATTAAAAAAGTTAGCAGTTGCGAACAATTGTGACTCTAATTATATCTAATGGAGCGGAAAGAAAGATTTATTGAGAGCGAAATTAGAACGTGCCACAAAACAGTCGCGAGGAAAAAAAAAGACTTGAAATGAAAATAAATAGAATGTAAGCGAGAATTTAAAATTTTGTTCTGGCGTTGTTCTATTATCTTTTGGTAATGTGTTGAAAGTTTTAGCCGAGTTGGAATCCTCAAGTTTTGAGACATTGTAAAATGACACATTTATTTAATTACTGATGGGGAAACAAAAACACAAGAACATTTTTTTTTTCATTTTTCTAATGAACAGGGTGTTCCATTTTCGTGTGTTTTACAGGGTTTACGTTTATGGGTAAAGGTACAAAGATGCGGTTGTCATTTTACTGTGTTACTATTTTATGAAACTAAAGATGCTACAAATAGATCGCAGCCTTCTTAGTTCTTGAAATACAGGGCGAATTTTTAAATGTTATTTTTTGGCTCCCATTGTATCTTGATTATTTAATAACTATTATTAATATTACATATTTTCATTAAAATGGGACTTGCACATCGAAGCTTTATCAAAGAAACTACGCGCTGCCTGTTTTGCGCTAAAATCAGTTTCTAAGGAACTTAACTTATCAACCTCTAGTATAGTCTATTATGCCCTTTTTGAGTCGCATCTTCGTTATGCTCTTCCATTCTGGGGTACTTGCTTCGCGACAAAATTTGATCGTATTTTCAAACTTCAAAAGAGAGCAGTTCGATATTTATTGGGACTGAACAGTAGAAATGACTGCCAGAATTTCTTTAAAAATTTCAAAATACTCACTCTTCCTTCTTTATTCATTTTTGAATTCGTTTGCTTAATCCGCAAGCACATATCTGCTATTCCCGAAAGGCCACCTTACAACTATCCATTTAGTTGTAATGCGGAGCACGATCTTTATCTGCTAACCCCGAGCTCAGAACTAGTTAAAGGCTCAATACTGTACAATGCCAAAAAAATTTACAATCATCTGCCTTTGGATATCAAGTCGCTTTCATTCTTTCACGCATTTTGCAAAGCTCTGAAATCATACTTACTATACAGGGTGGCCCATCGAAAACATTCCGCAAGGCATAACGGCCAGGGTAATTTTTTTTCAGAATATTCAAAAACACGTCAATTTTGTTTGCGAGGGGGACAACTTTTGCCCCAAAAATGATTGCAAAATCTTCAACCCTCTAAGCGGGGGTGTCATCCGCCATTTTTTTCAAATGGGAAGGGGGGTCAAGTGATACCGCAATGAAAAGGGCTTTCTATTCCCTATACTTTCCCCCTTCGTTTTTGAAAATCGGTTGAGATATTGAGAAAATATGAAGGATTGAAATTTGAATATCCTATACACCTATATCACAGAATATATTATATCACTGAGTACCTACTCGTATATTATACTCTGCGCTTATACCAAGATAATACATAGGTATAATACCGTATGATTAAATAAAACGGCTTCAGCGATGGAATGAAGATCGCTAACAATTTATATGTAAAATTATATGGGGAATGTCATCGATGTCCATTTCAAAGCCAACGAAACGCCATTTTTTTTTCGATCATACCGTATATAATTGCATACAAATATTCCTTACTTTATTAATCGAACTTCAATTTTCTCGACTTTTGGCTTTGGTACATTTTCTGCGTTCTTCTCGAAGGACAGTTTGATGAAAATTTCGTTTGAGTAAATTTGAGTATTGATAGTTCCTGTCAATTCGTTGTCCTCGAATTTGGTGCTAAAGTGTTCATATCCATGCTGAAATTAAGAAAAAGCATTTTAGTACAATACAATAAGCAAGTAAGTTTTTTACATGTTTAACATTTTCTGGAAGTGACGAACAAATTTTAAAGTTCAATATAAACTACCTAAATTGTAATTTACCCTGTATAGCATGATATTTAGTTAAAATATCCATTGTTCTACAAAACAATTAACATTTAAGTCATACAGGGTGAGACAAAACACACATCCAATTCAAAAATGCCATAACTACATTTTTTTTTGGAAAAAAGGTACAGGCATACGGTCCGAGACACTATATCAGTAGTCCGTATTTTAATGCATGTATAAATGTAACAAAATAATAATAAGATGTGATTTTTCATGATATGGCAGTATTGCACGTGGTAAATAGTCACCTGTGTATTAAATTATTTTACCTTTTTTCAATTTACGAAAGAATTGGAGGTATGGCAGTATTGAATTGGTTGTACGAAAATTAATATTGAATATTGGTCACTTTTAAAAGGAAGTTATTCTTTTATTTTAAATGGAACACTCAGTATTTTATTCCGATATTCAATGAACAACTCAAGTCTCTTTAAAATACCGTTCTGCCGTTCAGATAAAGATTTTCCTAATAATTCTCATTTTTATGATTTAATATCAGTAGGTTTTTTGGAACGATGTTACAAAAAAAAATAACGAAACAAAAAAATACCGCTCCAAAATGGCGTTACTCAAATACCGAAACATCACTACAACAAACTAATAATTACAGAAAAATATTGAATTAACGGATTATGTTAGTAGTGATGACGCTTTGGAACAGGATCTGTTATTTTCGAAACAGGTTTGTTTTGGAACTAGCTTGGAACAGGTTTATGTGCTATCCTATACCAGTTCCAGTTCCAACTGTTCCAGCTGTTTCAAAACACTGCAACTTAAATTAAATACTTAAAGAAATAAATTCTTGGAATTGTTTAAATTATGTTATCTACTATATTTGTGATACTAGATTCTTAATAGTGTATTTTTCAAAATTAGATAATTATATATTATATTGCATTTGGCAACATCGCCAGTACGTTTTTTTGATGGTAAGAAATTCTCTTCGCCTATTCTGTTTACATTAAAAAAAACTCGGCGTAAAAAATGTATACATACCGACAAAGGAACCGCTAGTTTTTATTATCTAGGAATGTAAGTTGTTTTTATTTTATATATGTATTTTACTATTTTACATATATAAAATAGTAAATATTAGATATTCTTTTCTTTCTGTATTTTTAAATATTGATTTCCTATTTAAAATTTATAAAAAAAAATTAGTTGAATTTTAATTAAATATATCAAATATCGGCAACGCTGCGAAAACCGTCACCCTTGTTTTTTTTACATCTATGCACTATATTAGTGCACTCGCACTCAATCTCGATAATATAACGCCAAGCGACCGCGTCGCTAAAGCGATATATTACCTCGTTTCTCAACTGAAACTAGTTCTTTTTACTTAAGTGTTCCAAGTCCCTAACTGTTCCAAGTGCTAAACTGTTCCAAGCCCTAAACTGTTTCAAGTCCCAACCTGAACAGTGGGACTTGGAACAGTTTGAGACTTGGAACAGTTTGCGACCTGGAACAGTTTAGGGCTTGGAACAGTTTAGTGCTTGGAACAGTTAGGGACTTGCAACTGTTTGAGACTTGGAACAGTTTGCGACCTGGAACAGTTTAGGGCTTGGAACAGTTAGGAACTTAGAACTGTTAAGTAAAAAGAACTGGTTTGAGTTGATAATCGAGGTCGTATATCGGTTTCGCTAGTCTAGCCAAGTCTAGCGCACGCGACCATTCAGGTGTTATCTATTATCGGGATACAGGGGCATAAAAAACAAGTATAGCTGTTGCCGTTATTTAAAATATTTAATTAAAATTCAACTAAATTCTTATTATAAATTTTAAATTTATAATAATTTTTTTAAATATTTTATTTTTTTAATGTAAACAGAAACAAAATAGATAAGGAACATTTTTTATTATAAAAAAATGCTAGCGATGTTGCCAAATGCAACATAATTATCGCATTATAGTTTTTTTTTGAAAAATACAGTGTTAAATTTAATGTCTTCAATCGTCACTATTTACTTGTCTTTTACCAGTCAATCGTTCAAATAAAAACAGTGCTTCACTGGTAGATGTAAACAAAAAAATAAACCATTAGTGCTATACTAGGTCTGTTCACTTCATCTGCGCGGTCTGTATTTTAATGCATGCGACACAGATAAATATAAATGACCGGTTGACAGACAGAGAGAGAAAATAAAAAGCGGTATACAGTGTTGCCGGTTTTTACATTTGTAGGAAAATGTGTTTAAAAAAATAACCTATAGGGAAATTGGAACAACTTTCGTTGCACGTCATCAATGACACCATGCGTCGTCTTATGGAGTTTGCTGGTGGTCGTATTATGATGTGCAACGAAAGTTATTTTAATTTCCCATTTTAAAAACGTTCATGTATACTACTGAAATTAAGATAATATATCTAAGCTAAATATAATCTCTTCTGTAGTAAAATGAGTAACTAATTCTGAAAAATAAAGTTCCAACCCTAGATGCAACATTTTTCATATACGCCTACTTGTGCAGTTTGAAATTTTGATGCTAAATCCGTTAATACCGCATGGAAGAAATATCTCAACCCAACTTTTATCTCTTTTTAATACATATGATTTTCCATTAAGCTGTCTACATCACTGTCTTACACGTTAAAATCCAGACAACGGAGTTTCGATGACCAGATCGGTACATCCGAGCAGCGCACAGTGCTTCGTCCCATGGACAAAAATCGAAAAAAAAGTTAAAATTTACTAATATCTGTATATGTAATTTTATACTTATAGCAATGTTCAACCATCCTGTATATTATTTTTCATATACAGCGATTTTTGTTAACAGTTGTAATTTAAGAACAGTCGGTTATTGTTTTGTATTATAAATATAGTAGATATTAAAAAAAAATTAAACTCTTCCAAGAATTTACTTTTTAAGTATATAACAAAATTATAAATCTATATTTATTCATTAGTGCTCATACAGGGTGGATCTTAAATAAGTGCACATATTTTTAGGGGTTGTATATTTCGATTCTCATGAGTTTTTTTCGGGAAAGCATGTTTTTGAAAAGTTTATATTTTTCGAAAATTTGATAGTTTTTTTTTTAATTTTTTGTTAAAAAACATTATATCTTGGTAATATAGCAACATAGACAGTAGATTAAATTTAGAGAAAACAGAAAAATCCCCAGTAGTTCTCATTATTTAAGCAAAAAATATTCTTTTATATAAATTTAAAAAGATAAATAGCAACCGAATCAGAATGACGCAAGTACGGTATTAATTTTCGTTTTGGAACAGTTTGGAACTGGAACAGGTTTCTTGGAACAGGTATCTTTTGCATCTGGAACAGCTTGTACCTGTTATTAAAAAATCGCTGTTCCGGCCATGACAATTTTTTTTGACCCAGACTTCTTAATATCTCGGAAAAATTAGGAATTCAAAAAGTTGCAAATCAGCGCTATCGACACTTCCATCTAACTTTTTATTATGCTCTATAATGAAGGAAACCCCCAGCTAATAGAACTTCCTAAAAATAGAACTATAAATTCTGGATTTTTGCCCTTCCGTCAGATATTTTTCCTAGTCGCCGCCGTCTTAAAATAGTTTTCCAGTTCATTTCAATCCTTCTCAGGGCTAGAATTTCATCAAATAAATTCCAGTTTAACACTGTGACAGTGTCAGGCGACAGGAACTGACTAAAATCCAATTGGAAATTTCTTTGATATGAAATAGCGCCGCATTAGAGCTACTTGCTGGCGAAAAAGGCGTCAGCAAACCCCAACAAAACCGTCGTCTTGAACAGATATAAGGATATAGAAAGTCAGCATTGAGGCACTTTTCTCCCGAGAATAAAAGAGAAAATAGAAAAGATAGCAGTTTTCTATTTTAACAAAATTTTAAATTATAAGGAGTGTTTTAAAATAATGCTTTAATAATTCATTTACGATTAATGAATCTAAAACAGAATTTATAAGATTCAAAAAGTAAAAGAAATATCTGAAGTTAATTATCTAGGAATGAAAACGGGCATAATAATTTAAAATGGGACACACATATAAATAGTTTAAAAATAGCAAACGCCAGAACAATTGCCAAACCCCTAAAATTAAAAAACATAAGAATATATATTTAACTAGCGTGTACCAGCGACTTCGTTCGCGTCGAATTAATCATTTGTAATGGTGATGATAAAGCAAAGCAAGAATTTCCATTAACATACAAACTGGATAAAATTTTCTCACATTTATGTCAGCATGAGAAAAAACAATATATCGATATTATTATATAACTTGGTAATATTTGAGGGGTAGTTTCATCTCGTTGGAATTTGACTTTCGAAAAATTCGTTTGCCAAAAATAAGCTTTTTACGTCAAGCAGTTTCAGCAGAATCGTGGTTAAGAAATTACCCAACTTTTTGGAACAGCCTGTATGATTTTTAAAAAAATTCAAAATATGTAAAAAAAAACAAATAAATTATGCTTATCCAAGCGTTTTCCTGAAAGGCTAACCGTTTTTTAAATAACAAATATTGTAATATTTGAGGGGCGTTTTCACCCTCTTGAAATTTGAGATTCGAGAAACCCCTCCTTATCGAACCTCTACACCCCACAGTCAATCTATTTGCCAAAAATCAGCTTTAAACGTCAAGCAGTTTAAGCAGAATCGTGATTAGTCAATGGTCATATTTTATGAAACATCCTGTATAAATTTATAAAAAATCTTAAAATATGTAAAACAAAATAAAATATATGTGTTTAAGAGGTTTTCCGAAAAACTCACCGGTTTTTAAATAAAAAATATTTTAATATTTGAGGGATAGTTTCACCCCCTTAGAATTCGAGTTTCGAAAAATACCTTCTTATCGAACATCTACACTTTAAAGTCAATCTGTTTTCCAAAAATCAGCTTTTTACGTCAAGCACT